TTATTATTATTATTATCAACATCGTAACACCATTGAAGTGACTATAGTGATTATTGTTCATTTCACAGCAGGTGTTGCATTCTCTGTTATATAATAATAATGTATACACACATATATGAGTAAATTATGGATGATAATTACGAATAGAAGATGATTTAATTAGTCAATAAGATAGAAAGATGATAAAAGGAAAATAAAATTGATGATTTGAAATAAACAACAAAAAAGAAGAAGAAGAAGAAAAGAAAAGGCATCACAACAACAATGAATAATTTTTCGTTAGAAGGTTCGAATACCAGAGTGAACATCAACTCTGAGATACAGGCACATCCATCTGACGAGTCCCAGGTGGGACGAAAGGCATGACTTGAATTCCATTGTTCGTCACCATTCATCTATCCTTATAATGAGTGTTTAACAGTTCTAATGATAATATTTATTAACAAGAGTTTGTTGGTTTATGTTACTTACTGACGCCTGTTACTCCTTGTGAAGGAGCATAGGCCGCTCACCAGCATTCTCCATCCAACCCTGTCCTGGGCAATCCTTTATAACTCTTTTCAGTTCCTTTTCATATCTGTTTCTACTATCCGACGTAGTGTTCTTTGGCCTTCCTCTTTTGCGCTTCCTTTTAGGATTCCAAGTCAGAGCTTGCTTCGTGATGCAGTTTGGTGATTTGCGTAATGTATTTCCTATCCATTTCCATCGTCTATTCCTAATTTCTTCTTCAGCTGGAATCTGGTTTCTTCTCTCCCATAGTAGGCTGTTGCTGATGATATCCGGCCAATGGATGTTGAGTATCTTGCGTAGACAACCATTTATAAATACTTATACCTTCTTGATGGTGGTTGTAGTAGTTCTCAAAGTTTCACCTCCGTACAGTAGGACTGCCTTGACGTTCGTATTGAAGATTGTCACTTTGATATTGGTTGAAAGTTGTTACGAGTTACATACGTTCTTCAATTAAAGGAATGCGGCCCTTGCTTTGCCAATCCTCGCCTTTACATCTGAATCTGAACCTCCTTGTTCATCGATGATGCTTCCCAGGTATGTGAAGGATTTGTTGGTTTATATGCCACCAGTTATCTCTATTACTTAGCACAATGATTGATCAATGTAAATCAATACTTGATAGATCAGCTTTAGGTCATAAGTACTACAAGGGGATTATATTTTATTAGGCCATACAAATTGAATTACGATATATGGACCTCGAATTAGCTAGTTAATTTATGGGGATGATCCACTGAGATATGAAGTTATCTAAAATTATTCTGATAAGTTGAAAATGACAATAAAACAATTATAATCAGAAAGGGGTTTTGCGGATATTACAGTAATTTAATAGTTGAATTCATGAGTTAATTAAAGCTAGACCACCACGGAAAACCTGAAATCACTGGACGGCCGTCTCGTTTTACTATGGGACTCCTGAATTCAACTATTAAATGACTATAATATCCACAAAACCTCTTTTGATTAAAATCATCATATGCTTACTAGTGACTGGCTTCGAGATGTCTTTCCTGGAGTTCTAGTGAGAAACAGTGACCACTGAAGTTCAATCGGGTCTGTTGTGAGATAGTAACTCACTGAAGACAATGATGTATGGTGGCTCAATATCGTTGATTAGTTGAAGTTAGACATTAACACTGTTGGATACCGGCCGGCTTAGTGCTCTAGAGGTTAAGCGTTCGCGCAAGACCGATAGGTCCCGGGTTCGGGTCTCGCTGGATGCTCACTACTGAGGAGTCCCATATTAGGACGAAACGGCCGCCCAGTGGTTACAGGTTTCCCATGGTGGTTTAGCTTTAATTGACTAGTGAATTTAACTATCAAATAAAACAGTTGTTCACTACTCAAACTGGCTTCAGTTCATAATAAAAAATATGAAATTATGAACAGTTTTCATAAAACTACTTCAATAATAGATAATTATCATGATGGTGTGCACCTTTTAACGATAACTCATTAACTCAAGGTTGGCCAAATATTTTTTCCTATCTTTTTGATTGAAATCATGAACCGATTGGTGTTAGATCACCATTGAAAACTTGGAAGCACTAGACGTCCGTCTCGTCGTATTGTGCGACTCCTCAGCAGTGCGCATCCATGATCCCGCGAGCGAGATTCGAACCCAGGGCCTTCGGTCTCGCGCACGAACGATTAACCTACTAGACCACTGAGCCAGCATCCAATGGTGATAGTGTCTAACATCAACCAATCCACGAAATTGCGAGACCAACTTCCATTGTACTGAGGTAGATACCTGTCTCTACCCGACACAAATTAGCTCCACTGGTCACGGTTTCTCAGTAGAATTTTGGGAATTCCCTCACGAAGCTAGTCACTAGTGAGCACATGTTAATTACTAGTATAGGGGTTGTGGAGATTATTAAGACTTTGATTGATTGTCTACTTACAAGTAGTTTGAAGAAATGAAAACAATTTATGAACAGCTACTTGCACTTGGGATATCTAACCGGTACACATTTGTTCTATGTTAAGTATATCATTGGTACCGTATTTTTTTCTTCGGACACCACAAAGACTAAAGACGTTAAATATTTGTGATAACTGATGATATTTAATGTAAGGATTTGAATGAACTAGGTTCCTTCTCTATTGATATTCACCTAACAAGGTGTATTCACAATAGTCATGAAAACTCGGAGAGATTTTGGACATTATTATATTTACTAATCTTTCAACCAATTGAATAATAACAAAATTGAGAGAGAGAGAAAAAAAGAACTGTGAATTGTTATTGTTCATGTCAAATTTGTTAGACTAATAAAACTATCCTTCATAAACGTCCAATATTCAGTCTGAAACGGGAATAAGTTTTGTTTAGAATGACACTTAGAAGTTTCACAACTGGACCGTTTTAAACAAATAGCTCAACAGAATCAATAATGATCACCTTGAATCATCATTCTATTCATTGTGTACAATAATATTAAAACAAAAGTTACCTAGTTTTTAATGGTATACTTAACCGTGGTCAATCAATGACGAATAACGTACACAGACAATTAATTCAGTGGTGTATGGAATTGTCTTCTCCAGCAATTACTGTCTTCCTAAAAGATGGTGCATCAAGGATAAACTTCCCATTCAAGCATCCTCATCGATCATTTTCTAAACGAATATACAATCATTACATTGTAATAACTATCCAAGTGAATGTAAACCGGTGAACAGCATAATATCTGGGCATTTAATCATGTGCTGATATAATAATTGTATTTGAAGATTATTCACAAATTCGGAAGAAGTGACTTGAAGAAATTCTTAATAGATGTAACTTTAACAAGTCGATAATTCAAGCTTTACCTTCCTGTTCAAAGAAGGTATGCTCTATCTCATATTCCATTTTATGGTTTTACTCATCTGTACTAATTTTACGATCTTTTTAAATCCCCATTCATGAAATCAGCAACCAGCCTTCACAATTCTCCTATAAATTATTTCCAGATTACTACTTCTAATTACCTTTAAGAATATCATAGCACTTATATTTGATGCTTAAAAACCATTGATAACCTTGTAAGTATAGGATTATGGAAGTAGTTGAGTTTCATTGAAATCTCGAAAACTGTTGGATAACGGCTTAGTGGTCTAGAGGTTAAATGTTTGTGCACAAAATACAAGGTCTTTGGTCCAATTATCGTGTACAAGAATCGTGGATGGGTATTATCATTGAGGAGTCCCATACTAAGATGAAGCTCCCTCTCAAGCTTTTAATGATGTAACTTGGATCAGTTCGGGATTTCTTGATGATGCAACATATCTATGTGTACAGAATTAAGTAAATGACATCATTGAAAAGTAACTACAAACCCAAGATATTACATAACTCAAATGAAGGTCATATGAAAAGCTGTTGGTAAACGTATGATTCGGTCAGTATAATTCATATGATAAAAGTATTAAACTCTAACACTAAAATGATGTATATTAAACAAATAGTTTCAGTGATATTCAATTAATCATGTTATATATTGGTTTAAGCACTTAAGTTTAATTGACCGAGGTTTACACAACTGGATATTATCATTTCTCCGTACATCATAAACTCAATTTTAAAGATCAAATGTAGTTAGCAAAGTCGAGCCAAAAATCCGTTTTGTCCTACCTAGGAAATGTTACAACAGATGCCCAAACTGTAGTTCGAAACCCCGTAGCTTTTGTCTTAAACGTTCAACATGTTAACCACCTACCTACTATGCTCTAATAACCACTGACTTGTGCAACGAAGATGATTTGAATTTCTAGGTGTCGAATAATGGCCATTACGCAATTTTACCCAAATACTTGTAAAAATCGAGTCGATCCGCCTAAAAATATACTGCATCAAACGAAATTTTTAATAGCCACAATATGGAGATGAAAACGACTGAAAATTATAGCTTCTTCGCTTAATTTATAAAATATTGACCACTAAAACAACATACACAGCATAAAAATATTATTGCCTGCGAATGCTCTGGTATTGCCAAGGGTGGAGAGAGTCAACTCTCTCTCTCTCCAGATGCTCTCGCATAGCCATACTTACATAGCCACTCCCGGGGAAGTTCTACTCACTCCTCTCCCACGGTAGGGTTGTTGTTTACGAAATTGACAGGATCGGAAGCGAATCTCTGGAGCTTTACCCGGGTTGGTGGATATAGAAGATCCATTCATGAGGGTTGGGAAACCCTCATTCCAAGTCAATGGTGCACATGGGCTCTAGGGTTCTGAAGGAACAAATGGTGTATGAACCTATTATTGGTCACCGGCTATCATGGGACTGCATCTCTTAAAGTTTCTCCATTATCTTGTGGATTAGACCTTTAGGTCGAAGGCTCTGGGTTTGGCCCTCTAAGAAAACCACCTGCTTCGATTTGGGCATCCGGGCAATATTACATTACTTACATAAATCAAATGATGAAGTGTGACGCATGTGTATTTGATGGCTCCTTGCGCCAATGTTTATGGGTTTAAATAAGAAATAACTATTCATAGCAAAATTTCATATAATGGAAATAAGAAAACTCTGTACACATTCCCAGAAGCTGAGATGAACAAATTTGACGTAAAACTGTCATCTATTTACAAGTTAACACGAAGTATCATAAACCCCTGAAGAAAATACTTAATGAGATAATAATAATACTACTGAATTCGAATTATAGTAGTACAAAATAAATTTGTTCGAAAATAAACAAATTGCATTCTCTAAACTTAATTGATAATTTCATCTGGATCCTTTGATGTGAATAATTTAATTAGACGTCTAGCAAATTCAGGACCTAAACGTCTTTTTGTTGATAAAACACCAACACCACGACGTATTTCTAAATTGGCTAATTCTATTTCAAATGGATGAATATATTTTTGTTCTGTAAGTTGATTGGACGACGAAAGTGTTGCTTGATAATTTGTACCTGAATAGTATAGAATAGAAAAGTGAATGAAAGATCCATAACAAACATTACTTTTATATTCAGTAAACAATGTGAACTGAAATAATCTTTTGCTAAAGACAATTCAACAAAATGACATTTCAGGGAACTGTATATGATGTTCACTGTCTTATTAATCATCATCGACAGGCAATGTTTATTGATGTAGAAGTAGGTTGGAAGAAAGCTGACTAGTTCCAGTTCGTAAGATCACTGACTCCTGGGTTTCGGCTATAATAATAGATGTAGATTATCAGTATATGATTGTGAAGATTATTACGTTTTTTGATTGAGATCATGAACCGATTGATGTTAGATCACCATTGAAAACTTGGAAGTATTGGATGGCCGTTTCGTCCTATTGTGCGAATTCTCAGTAGTGCGCATCCACAATCCCGCGAGAGAGATTCGAACACAGGGCCTTCAGTCTCGCGCGCGAACGCTTAACCTTTAGACTACTGAGCCGGCCGGCATCCAACGGTGTTAATGTCTAACTTCAACCAATCCACGAAATTGCGCAACAATCTTCCATTATACTGAGGTAGATACCTGTCTCTACCCAATGGATTAGCTCCACTGGTCACGGTTTCTCACTAGAACTTTGGGAATTCCCTCACGAAGCTAGTTACTAGTGAGCACATGGTAAATGTAAATTACTTGTGATCTGTGATAATCATGACCAGTGGTTGGAAACTTTGGTTGATATGACTTAGAATCTTTCATAATGGTGTAGATGCATCCACTTTTAATATTTTTCTCGATTTTGAATTCCAGTATTTATTTATTGTCGGCAACACTGCTACTACAATATATCGATTGACTTTACTATTCATTTCGTCGCGCGAATTAGGTATGGCAATCTGGGTCAATACACATCTATGCCAAGTTCTAAGTTGATTGGACTAATTGATATGATTTAATGATTTAAACAATGGACGTTCATAACGTTTGATTTAACAAATAAAAAGCCCTTCTCACTTCATATACATCTGTTTGAAAGTGGGGTCATTAACTTCCATACAAAAAGTATGGTTCAGTACACGTGACGTATTGAGTTGTACTAGGCAGATAGTAACTACGCCTAGAGCCACTCTAGGGTTACATCACCGTTTCGAAGCCGATGTATAAGAGGAGGGTTAAGCATGGGGTTAGTAATCCCATACCGTAAAAAAGAATTTTGCTTACAAATCAATGACTACAGAGTTATGACACTTCATGGTGAAAGCCGAGATTCTCTAGATGTCATGAGACCAATGAACTCTTCTGACAACCAGAGTAACAATTAATATAGATAATATGGTATATCCAAATAATGTGGGAGACTAAAAAGAACATTTAAATAGAGAAGGAAACGAAACAGTAGTTCTCTCTCTCCCCAAAAAAGCATAGCTCATTTCCCTTAATGTACATGGATTTTTTGCATGATAAAAGTGAAGAAACATTATTTAATGGCTGGATAAGTTGAATGAAAATGTGATTTAACATTAGAATAGGATAATGTAGTCATATAAGTAATATATGTATTTCTAAAAGGTTTTGATTAGGAAGAACAATATATTAATAGAAGGTTTCTTTGTTTGTTGTACTCGTTTTGTAACTGGTTAGTGGGGTTCGAAGGAGAACGTAGGCTTTTCCAGTCATTGGTCTAATCATCATAAGGTAAAGTGGTTTATTAATGGGTCCTACAATCCGATCGTGAGAGCAATATAATAAAGAATTCCATGTTTTTAACAGAGTGGCATTTGGTTAATATACTAAAAGAATTCCAATTAATTCATTCCATTGAGCAAGCCAGTGTCTGTTTGAATTTAATAACTAAATAGATCACGCGTTGAACATTTTAAGTATAAGATACTGGGTTCAAATTCCGGTGTGACTATCAACACAGGTGCAGGTACATACAACTGACGAGTCCCAATTAGGGCGAAACTCATGCCCTAGACCCCACTGCTAGCCACTACATAACTCTGCTTATAAGTACTTCAATTTGTTTGGAAAACAGGGACAGATCAAATTTACCTTGATTGCTTGATTGACTTTCCGCTAATTTGCATGCATTATAGAATGATCTTATAGTTGGATATACCAAAGTTATAGCATGAGCAATTTCACCAGTTAGTCCACGCCACTGACCTAGTTGACCCAGCCATACTCGACTAGACCATAAATGTAAATTTTGTTCTTGATTAGCAGTCAGTGATTCTGAATCATTGTTTATAGTAATTGGTGCTTTACCAGGACCACGACCACGCGAAGCACAACCGCTCAAACCTTTGTGTACAGTATTTGGTAGAAATGATAGTCCTTCATCTCGTTCTAAACGTCCTTGCCTATATAATAGAAAACAAAGATGGCAGAAGGTCATGGCATTTATTCATCTATTTCTATTAGCTTTCTTACCAAGTGTATATTTATGTGTACTTAGCTAAAAACCATATCCTTTGTTTATTTTTTTATATGATTTAAACACGTAAACATTGGTACAAGGTACCACCAAATACATATGCACCACACTTCATTCGATTCGCGTGTGGGCTGTGATACTGCCTGGGTTCACAAACCGAACCAGGTGGTTTTCTTAGTGGACCATTCCTCGAGCCTTTGACCTACAGATTTAATCTACAAGACAGTGGAGCGACGTCAAGAGATGCAGTCCCATGGTAGATGGTGACCAACAATAGGTTGACACACCTTTTGTTCTCTCAGGATTCTGGAGCCCATTTGCACTTGTTTGGAATGAGGGTTTTCCAACTCCCGTTGGTGAATCCTTTATGTCCACCATCCCGGTTAAAGCACTGGACCTTCGTTTTTGATCCCCTTAATTTCGTAAACAACACTCCCACCGTGAGTGACTATGTAAGCGTGGCCATGCGAGAGCATTTGGAGAGAGCTGACCCTCCCAACCCTCAGAAGTACCAGGGCATTTGTGGCCACATTCTGTAGACACTATACAAACTGAAGTAAGTGGAGCATAGTTCGAACCTGAAACTTCATACAGATGTAAAAATAAGATGAAACAATATCCAATACCCTGTTGACTTAACAAAGTCCTAAACATTAATATTAATCTGTGATAAAAGGAGAAACGGAGGATCAGCAATACGACGACAGGACAAACTAAAATATTCCGATGCGCCCCAGCTCTGCTAACGAGAGGGAGAAGACCAGATTCAGTTGGGGGGAGTATATTCCACAAGCAGTCGGAAGCACGAACGAACAAACACAAGAATCAATAGTGTATATCAAGTATAAAAATGTCCTTGGGAAACGTCACAAAATAGCATATTAAAAGAGGTAACAAATCAAAACCATTTCAGGTTCTTCCAAGTGGGAAATACAATTTGAAGGTGAAAGTGGGCGCTTTTAGCGCAAAAATGAGGAATTCAAATTTTCAAAATAAAATTAATAAGTGATTTCTAGGAATCTAGCATCCTTAACAAAATGTTGATCAGTTCTTGGCGGCATAGAAATATGCATCTCGTGCGAACCATTTTGATTAATTTATACAAGATGCAAATATACTGATAAAAACTGTTTAAAACGAAGTCGTAAATATTAATAATTTGGATAACTCGAACTACATACTACTAATGATGATGTAAACATTATACTCATTGAATAAGTGAATGAGTATCAGTGGTCTTGAGTGCTGTTGGAAGATTGAAATCGCTTCATATCTTTCTTTCTACCAACTGATTCTTTCTTCCTGTACTATGTCCTTACATGCAATCTTTCTTTTATATGTTACCACCACTGAATTAACTACTTCTATGAATCTAGTGTTCATCTTGTTGTACTAATGAGGTATGACAACTTGGACCGATGCATATATGTGCCTGATCTACGTTGTAGTTGACTGATACATTAAGTAGAAAATAATTTGACAAGAGACAGGGAATTTATTGATTTACAAACAAGAATAACCAGTTCATGTTCAATTAAGTGATTAAAACAGTTTTCTGTAATTATAAATTGTATGTAAAAAAGACAACAAGAGCAATTCACTATAGAAAGAAGAATCTTACTTAAATTGCCTTTCCGCCAACGATCGTGTAATCGCATTTAAAATCATAGCAACATCATGTAAATTCGATGTGACACGAGTACTGTGTACATGCCAATTTAATTGTAGTTCAGCGCATAATTCATTAATTGACATATACGATGAAATATTCTTTGATGATGATGATGACAAATGGTTGGCTCTGAGTGCGAAAACATGTAAGGGCAAACAAAAGTAAATCAGTATCATTTTTGAAGTATACAATGGTGTGACAGTAAAAGTGATCAGTAGATGAACAAATACTTCCAGTTGTTAAGCTATCAGATCAGGTTAGCATTTAATGATGGATGAGATTTGTGTATTACAATGACTAGTTTATTATCGTACAATTTCCTCGAAAAGATGAAGGTTTACAGCTTATTTGGCTACTTATGTTTCTGAGTTTTCCGAGAGAGATGGTTTGATTACGGGACTTTCATTATGTTTATGAATGATTTAATTATAGCTCACTTTAATCAAATGCCCTAGTATGGCCGAAGGTAGGGACAACCCGCTCACCTTCTCAAAATCCCTCATATGACCACGTGTATATAGCTACTATCAAGCAAACCCTAAATCACTACCGTCTCACGATAGAAGAGTTGTTTATGCAGGCGAAAGAACTGAAAGCGGGTGTCATGCGATTCAACAGGGTTGGTGAGTACGGAGGGTGTACCTAGGAGAGTTAAAAAACTCTGATTCCGAACCAATGGTGTACATGGGCTCTAGGATCATGAGGGAACAAGTTCTGTATCAACCTATTCTTGGTCATCGTTTACCAGGGGATTGGATTCCCTGACGTCATCCCACTGCCTTGTGGATAAGACCGTTAGGTTAAAGGCTCGGCGAGTAGTTCCCTAAGAAAATCACCTGCTTCAGTTTGGGCACGAATGGAACATATTGCTAACCCAATAAAGCGGCAATTGATACATGCAACTGTTTAACAGTAAACCTCAATGATGGAAACTAAAAAGGCAGGGATGCAGAGGAAAACGTGATATTTGACGAAGGCAAATCGAGACCGAACAACTCAATACATATAGTACTAAAAACATGGACTTCAGAAATGCAGAAAACAAGTACACTAGAAGTGGTAACAGCCAACCAAAAAAGTGTAGATAGTGAAGAAATCAGGATTAGAAAAACTGTACCCGTTATTATCGTTAAGAAAAAAACTAACAATCAGTCACAAAATTAGATACTTTGAGATCTTCTCAACTCTATCTATCCTATATTTGTTTAATTTTTGGTGCTGATAGAATTCCATCAACTAAATTACAATGTGACCACTAACCTGAATGATTTGACAAGCGACTCAACCGTGTTTCATCAGACTGTAACCGGTTATGACCACATTTCGATATGGTAAAGGTGACTATTAATTAAACTACCTAAGATAATCGTGTATGACCGATGGATATATCCGTTCTCTTAATGTTTTATACTTTTGATTTAACCATATTATATCCCCCCCCCCAAACGGTCGAGGGTGGAGAGTCCGCTCGCCCTCTCCAAATGTTCTTACATGGCCACGCCTATACAGCCGCTGTCAGAGAAGTTCTAATCACCTCACTCTCACATTGGGGTTGTTGTTTGAGAAACTAAGAGGATCGAAAACGAATGTCCGGAGCTTTAGCCGGGTTGGTGAATATGAAACATTTACCTAGGGGAGTTAGAAAACCACCATTCCAAACAAGTGGTGCACATGGACTCAAGGATCCTGGAGAAACAAATGGCGTATGGACCAAGTGTTGGTCACCGGCTACCATGGTACTGTATCTCCTGACGTTGCTCCACTGCCTTGTGGATTGAACCTGTAGGTCAAATGTTCGAGGAGTGGTCCACTAAGAAAACTACCTGATCTGGGTATCCGGGCAGTATTCCAGCCCTCACATAAATCGATGACATCTGCTGCTGGCCTCATCGTTGTTGTGTAGCGCATATGTATTTGGTGCCCCCTTGTACCAGTGTTTATGTGTTCAAATAAATAAATAAAATGTTATACTTTAAACATTATATAAATATAATCACTTAAAATTAATAAGATTGCAAAATTAAAAATACAACTTACTTCGATTTAAAAGTAGGCCCTGTCAAGAAAATACAGGTAACTGGTCGTTTCAAATTCATTAAACTAGTACCAAACGCAATAAGATTTGCATTCTATGGAAATAGGAGAAAAATAATGACACTGATGATAACTGCAGAAAACATAAATGTCAATAATATTAAATCGACGACCATCTACATATATGTGGATTTTCAAGAAACATGAATGAAGACAGTAAGCCTAAATGGTTAAGAGTAGAATTTTCTATTAGAAAATAATTTCTAACTAGTGGTACAGGGGGATTGTGTAGATTACTGAGTTTTATAGTCGATATCACGGACTGATCTTAGTTAAACAACCAATGACAATTAAGAAACAGTGAACATCTTTTATCGTCCTAGCATAGGACTCCTTAGTAGTAATTACCTCATAAGGAATTGAACCCAAGATCTTGATGCCTCACAACAAGCAGTTAACCCTTAGACCACTGAGTTAGTATCCGGTGGTTTACATACCAAAATGAAATCAATTCACAATATTGCACAACCATCTTCCAATGCCATCTGTAAGTAAATGCTTTACATCTGACATGGTTGAGATCCCCTAGCCACAGCTTTTGATTGGAACTCCGAGAACTATCTTTAGAAATTGATCACTATTTACTACATGATTATTATTAGCATACAGGGTCTTAGCTGTTTATGAAATTAATTATCTAGTTGATTAAAATTTGGTACACGAAGAGCAGGATATCATAACAACCACAAAATCACTTTCGTCTCACCACAAACTAAAAGTATATTGCTGAGACTTAACGTTAAGTGTCAAATTCTAATACATATACCTAGACATAGTGAAAAATGCTTTACAACTGTTAAAGTGTATAAATATGTATGATTGTTGCTGTGGAGATTGCTGAGTTAAATTGGAATCCCGACCAATCTAGGTTAGATAACCAGTGAAAATGTGGAAATACTGGAGTGGGAATCTGTGAGAAAACTACCCACCAAAGACAGTGGGAAATGTTCACAGATTATCTTGAATTGATTGGAGTTAGACTTGTACACTACTGGACACCGACTAAGTGGTCTAGGGGATAAGTTTACGTGTGCGAAGCTGAAGGTCCTGAGTTCGATTACTGAGCGCGGGGTCGTGAATTCACACTGCTGAGGAGTCACATGTTAGTACAAAAAGGCAGTCTAGTGCTTTCAGGTTTTCACTGGTTGTCTAACTTAGATCGATTCCTAATTTCAATAAAACATGTGTAAGTCGGTTATTTAAAATCGATACAGATCGAAGTGTTACAAGCCCCTGGATCCAGTCATTTAGTCTCAAAGTAAAAACGGATAACCGATTAGCAACAGCAAACCGATCTTTTATACTTCATACCGAAGATACAGCTAATCATCAAGAAGTAGAAAGATTGATAATGGTGTAAATTTCGGTCAAAGTTGAATATTTGACACGACGTTAAACTGGTTAAAGAAATGATGCAGGATAACCATGTAATGTACATCAATGATTATTAATTCCATGCTTTTTTTCTTACTTGTGTTGATATAGTTGTCGTTTCTATAGTTATGAAGGAAATATAACTTAACCCAATAGACCTGTGCCATTTTTTCACGCTGCTACATCTACCCAGTTACCGTAATTAAAAAATTATGAAAAAAATTCAACATTTTAGACGAAATATACCTCGTGTACTTTCTGTTTAGTATCACTAGACGATTTGATGAGTAAATTTTTAATTTGATCAGCAGTTAGCAGAATGACAACTTCAGGTTCGATAAATGGATTAAGTTTAATGTTTAACAATTCATCATCTGCAATACAGATAGAATGATGAGAATAAAATAAGATAGACAAGAGATTTAAAAAAATAATGGAGGTTGATTTTATTGTAAACAAAAAGAATATAAGGCTAGTTATTGAGGGTTGAATTTGAACCCTATTAGGTTTTAGGCTTTAACTCCGCACTTCACGATATAATGTAGTCTACGTAATCCTACACAATTTCTTACTAGTGGTGGCCTAATGACTAAGATGTTCGACTTTAAGCCACTAAACTCATATCCAGGGCTGGAGCCACGTACTTTGGTTTATGAAACTGAGTAGTAGTATCATTAGCCCTCATGTTTAGAGTGTAGCTCATATCCAAGTAACTGGAGAATGAGTTAATTTAAATTTGATAATCAGTAGCTCTCATACTAAAAGGGTGATTCAAAATCAAGTGTCCATGGTGTCACTACTGACTGCTAAGTTACACTTGCTCAAACTAGTCAGAGTACTTTAAGAAAATGATAAGCATGCAATCAAATATGACTGCAATAAGTTACACATCACAATAATGATGTAGCTCATTTATTAAGTACATGTTTATGTACTCGGTTTTGGATAAAACTATGTTACTAACCGAAGGCCCCTAAATGTCCTGGCATGGCCAAGGGTGGGGATAAACCACTCATCGTCTCAAAATTTCTCCTCATATGGCCACATGTATATAGCCACTGCCAAGCCGCTCTAATCACTTCCTTCTCATGGCAGAAGAGTTGTTTATGCAAGTGACAGGATTAGTGAGTATGGAGGACCCACCTGGGAGAGTTGGAAAGTTTATTTATTTATTTATTTAAACACATAAACATTGTTTTAAAATGATGAGACAATTATATTTCAGTCATATTACAACCGGATGGAAATGGAAGACAGAAAAAAATAATCTTTGGAAACTTTAGATGATGCGACTCAAACTGGTGACAGAGATGCGTATGGATATACGTTTCACTCGCCTACAAAATCTCAAGCTTAGCATTACAACATCCCTTCCATGATCATACCAGTGATACTATTCCCATCTCTTTTATTTTCAAAACGCAAGGTTCTTCTTGCTCTATTTATGAAAATGAATACAAATCTATAATAAATTCTACGTTATCGGTAATAAATACATTTAATTTCCATTCATCTCTTCAGATTCTGGAGTGTAGTTGCTTGTTTCATATCTATTTGCCTCCAAAACACCCTGGTACGACCGAGGGTGGGGAAAGTCCGCTCGCCTTCTCCAAATGCTCTTACATGGCCACGCGTATATAGCCACTGTTAGGGAAGTTCTAATCACCTCCCTCTCACGGTGGGGTTGTTGTTTGCGAAACTGAGAGGATCGAAAACGAATGCCCGGCGCCTTACCCGGGTTGGTTGATATAAAGGATTCACCAAGGGGAGTTGGGAAACCCTCGTTTCAAACTAATGGTGCACATGGGCTCCAGGATCCCGAGGGAACAAAAAGTTTGCCAAATTATTGTTGGTCACCGTTTACTATGGGACTGCATCTCTTGACGTTGCTCCACTGTATTGTGGATTAAACCTTTAGGTCAAAGGCTCGAGGAATGGTCCACTAAGAAAACCACCTGGTTCAGTTTGGGAACCCGGGCAGTACCAAAGTGCACACACACAAATCAAGTGACTTGTGTGGCGCCTATGTATTCGGTGCTCCTTTGTACCAATATTTATGTGTTCAAATAAATAAATAAAATCGTGTCTGCTTATGACCTTTTCACAAGGCAAGCCCTAACTGGAAATCCTGGAGGTACAAGGAAAAGACAAAAACCAGAGAACACAAGCGCAGGGAATTGGAGACAGACATTGGAAACAATTGGAAAGGAGAGTTGAGGACAGAAGTGGTTTGAGAATCCTAGTCGGCGGCGTATGTTACATGAGGGGTAATAGGTGTAATTAAGTACTACAATTCACTTTCTATTAAACCGTCGAGTGTTGATATTTTTATATCCTGAAACAGAAAATCATACTATGGACTATAATTTTATCACGGTTAGGAGAACCGTATATCTTTCTCTGATCAGAAAGTAATTTGTTACTGTTGAAGTTGTCATCAAGTGTAAGTCGGCAAATCAGATAGTAATCACACAGAACATAGAGTAGACCTAAGCAACCGTCTTCACAGTCATTTTCTAGGAATGCACTGAATAGATCGAGAATAGTTCAAAGAATTTAGCTAATGTATTTGGTCAAGAGTATACCTACGAACACTTACTGATTACTTAGTGAATACACTAGAAAAATGTGACTTTGCAATAAAAGGGATACTTCATTAAGTCTAATAGTACCATATGGCTGTCCATGTCTCGTTTACTAGATCCGGGTTTGAACCCATGACGCAATAGCTAATAATTGAGCCACTGCTCCATTATCAGTTTCGGAAATATGTTGTTAATTGAGAAACAATCACTAAATTTATCACAAACCCAAGTTATACTCAGAGTAAAAGCTGAAAAACTGCCACATTACAATTGAAAGGCAATCGAGATGTGTGTCGAGGGGAGGTACAAGCTTGTTTACTTCCAGAATAAACTACCATAATATTTGCTTAAAGTGTAAAACATTCGAAACGTTAAGATAAATATGATCAGACCTGTTGATTTGGAATCATTTTCTTTAGTCGATAAGTCTATTGTTGGTTGATAACGTGTCCAAGTGAAAGAAAACGAGATAGGAACAGAACCATTGAGACCACTTAATCCAACAGTTTTCGGTTGAATTAAAGGTGGCAATTGTTGCGAAACACTTCTCTCCAAAGGATCATTTGAATTAGTTAAATACTGTATTGTTGACGACTGCCAATTAGCTTCTAATTTCGATGTCAAGGATGCCAATAAACCAGACATTTGTAAGATACTTTCATCGAATTCACAAGTGATCAACTAGGAAATTTGAAAGATTACATAAATACAAAGTAAATAGAATTAACAACAAATTACTCGCATAATCTCTCAATCGAACAAGTGTCAGGAAACAAGAATGGGTGCTTAGTACAGATCTTGCTCCAACAAATAACATGCTTGTTAGATTGAAATCAAGAATAAATATGCTTATAAGTTACTTAGTAAATAAATATAAGAACCAAAATTCGTTCATCATTTAATGGACTTATCGTCTATCACGGCTAATTTTTAAGGTGTACCACAAACTGTCATATTATGGCCACAACCAGTAAGCTATATACATAGTATAATCTGGTACATATGTGCATACAAATGAGTAAAAATGGAAACATGACCTATAAGGACGTACCAAGTGGTTCGAAAAAAAACACCAGTACTAGTCAAGGTAAATAACCCCTTATTTTACTACCTCAAATCAAACAAACATTGATTCTCTCCTTTTAAATAACTTGATGATCGGAGACGACCAGTTACTTGGTTGCCACTTCACATGAGTGTAGGAAACGCTTACAAGCTATAGGAATCCGGATTTTTGGGATGATTTTACTTGTTAAAATATTCGAGGGGTTCCTTAGAGAAACGTGATAAAATGAGGAAAGCGAAATAACTACCACAAAGTTTTTCAAATATAATAACTGGAACTATTATGAGCCATGACTTAAGAATCGTACCTGTAGTAAACTCTAGGCCGATAAAAATTTATGAGACGAGCCTGTTAGCAGTCCTGTACTATGTTGCCAAACAGCACTGAGGTTTCAGCTCATTTAGGCAAGCAGGAGATAGGGAAGATAAGTGTGTGATCGATCATGAAAAAAGCCTCTAAGAATATGTAACTTAAGATTTTATATTTTATCTGATGTAAGTTTGTGATGAAAACCATAGCTCTAACTCTTTGCACTCATTTGAAACTCCATCTTGATTATATACTCTATGACTTTAGGGCTGTCTGGACGTTCACCATTGGCTTGGTGTAACACATTCTGTCCAATATTTGTCATTGGGTGAGAATTATTTCGTAAAGGAATATGAAGTTTACCACACTGGAACGGACGAAAAGTGTGGGAAATCAAGAACAATATGATTTTGATTGGGAACTTTGAAGTGGATTCTGACTATCTGAAGAGCAATACCGAAATTATTTGCAATGGGTACAAATGTGTTTGCAGAATAATTACCAGAACATAGAATTAAAAATTAACACGACAATGACACAGACTCACTCGATAGGCATTTTTTGGGTTCTCTAACTTTTTAGTAGCTGCTCTGTTTTTTTAACATGATTTTGTGGTTTTCCAATCTTAAGACAACACTTGAATCAATGGGTGTCAACCATACCTGCTTACGCTTTTTACAGGGAACAACTGAAGAGTCTGTTAGTATATTTGGTTCGTCAGCCATAGAAAATGAAATATAAGCTAAACATATTGTAGCATATGTAAGACTAGAAACCAACCAAATGGTTGACCTTCGAAGTCGGCGGGATTACATGTGTTGATATACCGCCGATGGTGATCTTTCAATAAACAATATCTCTAAGTTAACAAAGCATGATGCGGCTGAATCCCTCGCGCTTGTATTTTGATGTCAAAGAATAGTTAAATTCAAGGTGAATCCGCTCCTATTAAGGTGGAAAAACGGTGTGCAACATGTGAATAGTGAGAACTTTTTATCATGCTCGAGGTTTTGTACTTTTAATTAACTGAGGTCTTCTGTTACGTATACTTTTATAGATTTGTTAGCCTGTATGCGTGTATCCGTTCTGTTCTACTTCATGTTATCCTTGTTTTTGATAGAAATTTTAGTCCTCTCCAATTTGAATTTGTGACAGTTTCTCTGTGACATTCATATAATAGTATCTGGTATACCAAAACCAACAACAATAAATGAATTGGGCTTGTCTGTATCAGTGGTTAAGTTTCGCATCAAGTATTTAGTGGCCTAAGGGCTGATTCCTATTTTGACTGACGAACGAATATTCTGTGGACATAAATGTGCCACTCATCTCCTTAACCTCGGTTATATGACCGCAGTAATAAGCAGTCAAGTACGGATGAAGTAGGACGAATTTCTTTCAGGGATTAGTTTGCTCAGACAGACACTAGAATGAAAAGCGAGGAGGTGAATAAAAGCGGAGAAGGCGAACATACCAACTGCCTTTTACTACTTATCGCAAGCGTTAATATAGCTAGAAAAAGAACATCTGTATTGTGACATAGAGACCGGAATTGGATAATATAATCCGTGACAGGCATAAACACAATGCGCATATGCGTATTACCAATTATGGGATGAGCTTGTAGATCACGTTGAGCGCGGCGTTGCCGCTCGTGATCTGGTGCGGATGCATGACCGAGTGCCTCCAGCTAGGTGGGTCCATTAGAAGCAATATGGTCAGGAATGTCGGAGACTTATAGAGCTCTATTTATTATGAGGATTTATTTACCGCTACAATCTGTTCGATATTCAGTGACCCAACTGCCGGATGATTTGGCTAGGGCTTAGTGACATTACACTGTCTCTACAAGACAAAACAGTGTTTTCCCTGGGGTTTTGTGACAAAGATTCTACATAATCGCGGTGGAGCTTAGATAGCCATGTTCCCAAGGTTACTGGAATCAATGTATACTGAGGCGCCAGAAGTGAATTTGAAATAGTCTGACGAAATATTACTGATTCCAATAAGTCTAGAACGTTGACAAGATACAAGCAATAACTTCAATTTAAAGAAGGCAATATAAAGTTGTATTATTATCGTTATAAGCCATTTAACTACAGCGTGAAATATTTGATTGTTCAGCATGTCTATTAGTTGTTTACCACAATAAGTCAATGAATGAAGAAACAAGCCGTGTATACATGTTAATGAACTGTATTTCAACTAGAATAATGTGTTCAATTATATGGAAAGCGATTATAATTTCATAAGAACACAAAATCCGTCCCTGCATAAGTGGGGTTCTGAATTACCGTAGTTCATTTAGAATTTTTATTGAATGTGTACTAGACTCTGCACTGAAGTCAGCTTCCGAGTTACTTAGAGTAGATCCATTAGCTTTAAATTTAATTAATTGAATAGTAATACTCAAAATAGAGACTTTGGTTAATGTAATGACAACACTGGTACCTAATAACATCAAATTTCTGATTGAAATAATAAATTCGATGCTAGTAGTGTCAACAGTGAAATCATGAAATGAAACACTTGACATGAAAATGCTTATGATTTTGAGATGAAACATTCGTAATTACAAATAAAGGATGAAACACAATTGTTTTTTATTAGCATTAGCATCAATGATTAAACACCAGCTGCAAGGTGAAATAAGTACGAGCATTACATAGTCTTAATGTGACCGGTCTTGTCACTTTTGGGCTATTTGGAGACTTTGTAATTGGTATGATTTTCGTTTATAAAATTTAATAAGTGATAAATACTTCCAAAGATTCTTTTTCTTTTTGTGCACAGCGGTGAGAATATAATTTATGGACGACATTTCAGTGACGCTAGACTGACTTTGAGAGCGTCCACCTAATAACTAGAACCAAATGAGGGTCACAAACATCAGTGAGGAATAAGTAATATGCTTTACAGTTGATGATTATGATCAGGTATTAGGTTTAGGGTTATTATCATAAACTGAAATCAGCTGTAATGCCAAAACTCTATTTAGCCAGATGGGTGAGTGAATTTCGTGCCAGAATCCGAGACCTATTATCTTGGTTGGTTCGTCCATAAATTATAGTCTCGCCAAATAGAGTATTAATATGAAAACAAAGAGATCTACAACTAAGCTGGCCGGTATCCAAGGGCGTTAATATTCAACTTCAAATAATCCCCGAAATTGAGCGACACACCCACCATTGTTTTCAATGAGTTACTATCTCACAACAGAACCGGTTGAACTCCACAGGTCACGGCTTCTTCCCAGAACTCCAGGAAATACCTTCTGAAACTAGTCGCCAGAGGGCATACGATGATTATTATCAGAAGGGGTTTTGTGGAGATTTTAGTAATTTAATAGTTGAATTCATGAGTCGATCAAAGCCAGACCACTACGAAAAACCTGGAAGCACTAAAAGGCCGTTTCGTTTTAGTATGGACTCCTCGACAGTGCGCGTCCACGATCACGTTCGCGGGATTCGAACTCAGAACCTATCGGTCTCATGCGCGAACAATTAACCTCTAAACGACTGGACTGACATCCAAAGGTGTTTATGTCTAACGGCCGCCCAGTGCTTCCAGGTTTTTCATGGTGGTCTAGCTTTAAATGACTCATGAACTCAATTATTGAATTACTAAAATCTCCACAAAACCCCTTCTGATAATAATCATCGTATGCCCACTAGTGACTGGCTTCAGATGGTGTTTCCTGGAGTTCTAGTGAGAAGCCGTGATCTGTGGAGTTCAACTGGTTCTGTTATAAGATATTAACTCACTGATGACAATGGTAGGTGTGTCGCTCAATTTCGTGGATCGGTTGAAGTTACATATTAGCATCATTGGATGCTGGCTAGTTCAGTAGTTTAGAGGTTAAGCGTTCGCTCTCGAGACCAATAGATCCTGGGTTCGAATCCCGTGGGGTGGGATCGTAGATGCATACTGCTGAGGAGTCCCACAATAAAACGAAACAGCCATTCAGTTCTTTCAGGTTTTTCATTGATGATCTAGTTTCAATTGATTCATGATCTCAACTATTAAAATTAATTTGTAATAGTTTAGATAAATAAAACCAATCAAAATGTCAATAACGGGATAATTTGGAATCATTAATTCATATAATTTAATGTACAAATTTATATTTCATTTTCCTTGTATACAGTTAATACACCAATATTATTTTGTATACAGAATCAAAGTTTGTACACACACACACACCATCTTATCCTCGAAATGTTTTTCTCATATATTACTTACAACAATAACAACAACTACAAAAACCTTATTTACTTCATTAACATTATTCATATGCATAATCAAAAGAATAATTATTGCCTTATTAGCATGTTACTATTTCATTTAAGGAATTGTAGTTTTACTTATTAAGGTCAAAGATGTGACTAAAAGCATTATGTAAGTGACATTATATAAAAAACAACAATAAACAAAGATAACATAGATCTTTGTAGAAAAAAGAAAAAAAAGAAAAACAAGAAAAAAATACACCATTGATAATTTAATACAATTGATGAGTTGCATGAAAAAAATAAATAAATAAATCACTTCTTAGATACATATACTTGTGAGATTAGATGGTGGTTAGAGGTAGTCGACAGGAAACCCTGAACTCGGGTTTCGTGCTACTTGGCACTCATCAGCAAAGTGTACCTGTAATCTTGAGGGAGCTGGTGCTGCCTGACGGATTCGATCCCGTATCACTCAGCTTCACAGTCAGAGACGTTACCATTGGGATATCCGAGCAGCGACCAACCTCCTGTGGGACTGAGATGTAATCACAATTGATTGATCACTGGGTGGTGATCAATATCATGTGTGTCAAGTCCTTATTATTAGTGCAGATCGAACGCTATTGACCATGATGCAATGTGGCCACCAGTCTAGGTGACTCGAAACACGAAACCCGGGTTCAGAGTTTCCTATCGACTACCTCTAACCACCATCTGATCTCACAGTAGTGCACGCAGTGTCTAGTCACCTAGACTGGTGGCCACATTGCATCATAGTCGATAGCATTCGATCTGCACTAATAATTGGGACTTGACACACATGACATTGATCACCACCCAGTGATTATTCAATTGTGACGTATACTTGTATTTTGTATAGACTATAAACAATAAGGATTATTTACAGTGTATATGATACTAATATGATTATTTAGAATTTACATTCTCAAGTATAAAATTGACACGGATAACTAAATTGCTGATTGAATGACAATCAGTTAAAACGCTTCGGTACGGTTAAGGGTGGAGAGAGTTCGCCCTCTCTCTCCAAATGCTCATACATGGTCATGTGCATACAACCACTATCAACGAAGTCCTACTCATTGACTTCTCGTAGTGGGGGTTTTCTTTATGAAATTGAGAGGATGAAAAGTAAATACTCGGCGCTTTAACTGGGTTTGATGGACACACAGAGGATCCATGTAGGGGGAGTCGGAAAACACTGATTCCAAATTAATGGTGAACATGGGCTCCAGGATCCTGAGTGAACAAATGACCAATGGACTATTTGTTGGTCACTGGATACCATGGGCTTGCATCGCCTGACTTTGCTTCACTGTTATGTGGATTAGACTTGTAGATCAAAGGCTTGTGTGTGACCCCCTACCATTATTATTATTTCACTATCAGACACTAATTTCTTTTCGTTATTGTTCCCCTATTTCTTATACGCACCTTGAAATCTTTATCTCCTCCCATTCTCATTGTTATTTTGTGGCGCATATGTATCTGGTACCCCCTTGTACCTATATTTATGTGTTCAAATGTGTTCAAATAAATAAATAAGTTAAAAACTAATGTGTAATATATGATATGATGT